TTTCGCTGAACAGCTCGAGTCAGTATTTCACTCCAGCCCATCGCCTCCAACTCTATAAGGTGCAAGTCCGACCGCATATAGAATACTGCTCTCATCTCTATGAAGGGGCACCACAGTACCAGCTTCTCCCTCTGGATCGAATCCAAAGAAGAGCAACTCGAATCGTCGATAGCCAAAATATTTGCGACCGGCTCGATCCCTTGGCGTTACGTAGAGATGTAGCTTCGCTCTGCATTCTCTATCGTATATATCATGGAGAGTGCTCCGAGGAATTGTTCGGACTAATACCGGCCGCAACCTTCCGCCATCGTTACACACGACAAAATTTTATCCACTTGGATAATTGGCGATCAACCACTGTGCGTTTTTCAAGTCACTTTTTGCCTCGAACTACCAATCTGTGGAACAAGTTATCGTCTGCGGTATTTCCGGACCGATACGACCTTCAAACCTTCAAGAAGAGCGTACTCCTTCCTTAAAGTCTGGCAAAGCGCTTGTGACTCCTGAATTGCAGGCGTTCATGGTCGGCGGTAGTCGCTATCTATCAGATGACCCGTGTGCTCTTTTACCCCCTATTCCATAAAAAAAAACAACTACACACAATATGTGTCCTTGATAAAAAAAACTTGAGTTAACAAACAATAACTACAGCAGCCTCATAAATAGATACATAATTTACAAAAGTTATTATCTGTAATACTAACATCGTTAACTACTGATTACTTTAAAAATTACAATATTTAGTACTTCAGTTGAGATAGGTACTCGTATCATAAACTAAGGTCCGTATTTTAAAAGACGTCTCAAGTATCAGTTGAACTCTGATTACCTGAAACTAGTTTTAAGTGCAGATCAAAACTTAAGTAGCGATCTTATTATAGAATGCGTTTTAAGTTTTACTCAGTTGAAACTACTTTCAAGTATCGATTTGAACTAACAGTCTGTTCTCAGTTAAGTTTATCGACATTATTCCGTATGACGCAGCTAATTATAATTATTAAAAAAACTTTAAATAACATCAATTTAGAGAATTTGTATATAGTATATTATTTGCTAGTGTGCCAATTTAAACGTATTTCATACAAGCTTGTTGTTCGTCCGAAATTAAATATAATGAAGAATAAAATAAAAAGAAACTAGTTATCAGCTATAACGGAACGTTCAAGTTATTTTTCAACACCTGTCATTTTGAAATGTCAAACAATGTTTTTATTTTTATATTTCTAGAATTTATTATATTTTTAACATAAACCAAAAGGTTGTTGTGATTTTAATTTAATTAACAAGTATTGTGTATGCAAAATGTGAATTTCAGTGCATTTAATATCAATTAAGATAAATTAAAGTAAATTGATTATGTATGACAAGTAATTCTTTCGTAAATAAAGTAAATCTTTCGTAATTATTCAGAAACGAATCATCGTAAAACACATTCATTTCCCCTTAAAATGCCCTAGAAATCACCGCACCTTATCTCACGTAAATCAAGATCACATCTGTCAAAATCTATACCTGAGTAAAGATTTCGACATAAACATCGTTCTAAAATAAGTTTTCACTCACTTGAGTATGTATCGGTGAATCTCGTTTTAAGTGACATTCAATAATAAAATCTGTAAGTACTTGAAATTAGTTTTAAGACCAGATTCACGACTGAGACACCTTTTAAAATACGGTCCTTAGTTTACTTATTGGCAGTAACATTAACTTATAGTGATACTAGCGTGCCTTATGTTAAACGATTTGTGTGGGTAGTAATTGCATTATTTCTTTTTTAAGTGTTGTAACCTTGTTACTAAAAATATCCATAGAGACAAAATGGTTATTATAGCCATCAGTGTGTTCTTGATAATATTATTTCTCTATCCCTTACTTTAAGAAAGGCTGAAAAGCCGCAATAGGTTTCCGAGTAAATAGGATTATATTTAGGAAATATGTCTTCCCGAAATGTATTTAAGTGGGGTTACTATTTTCTATAATAGGTATTGCAATTAAAAATTTCACACAAACAAACAATGAATAACAGTCAGTGAATGAAGAACACAATGTCTTCGAAGATTTTTATAATAAGACGAAATAAGTTCAATATAACAAATTACTTATGTTTACAAATTGCAAAACATCTTCAAATACGTTTTATAATTCAGCTGTCTTTGTACAAAATAGGCATTTATTTTTTACTTAGCAAAGGAATTTCATTATTGACTCTAAGAATATTTTTATATGAAAAATGTGACCTTATCCATCCAATCCATCGACATTTACTAAATTGTAATAATTTATATATGTTATTTTCTTCAATGGCCTCACATGAAAAATAACGCCTGTATTTATATGAAGTATTGAGTATAGGTAACATTAGGTTTAGAAGTTTTATTTAAAAAACTTGCTCATTCTAGTTTTGTATAGGAATGCACTCTCGATTTATTTATTTTTTTCTAACTGGAAGCAACGGAAACTCTAAATGTATTAGATCGCATATCTGAAGCTATAGAGTAGTTTACAAGCGATGCAGAAACGTTTCTCGTTTTCGGGGATTTTTATACAAGTCCATATAACGAATAGTCTACTTTCTTATCTAAATCAGATTTCGAACGAACAGAACGGTAATATCTTGCTTTTCTCATATGCCTCTCTACGCCTTGAATCAGGATATAAGTTAGGGAATATCCGCTTGGGAAGGTTTTACTGTTTTAGCGGTTGTCACTTAAAAAATCATTTTTTTTTCGCTTTAGGGGGGGCAAACGTGCAGAAGGGTCACTTGATGGTAAATGACAACCACACACTTGTAACTCAACACACACACACACACACACACACAACAAATGCGTTGCCACTCATTAAACAACAAATAAGCATCATCAATTCTGTAGCAGGTAACAATAATTCACTAAAGAACGTTCAACTTAAAACTGTAAAGTTTCTAAGTATTCATAACTAGATCACAAAGTGACCTGATACAATTTGATTTGAATTGGTTGTATTTGGTAAATCGAACGTTGATCTCAATATAAAGCTGCAAAATGGCGAAAGTAAGAAAATGTTATATAATTATTTTCGCTATTTTACTACAGTCATGTAATACAGTTTTAAAAAAAATATATAAATGTTCAATGGAGAGTTTCAAACGTAAAAGCTTTTTGGTTCTACTGTCCTAAGTTCTAACTTAGGACAGTAGACTGTTGTACAGTTTGCCTCGTTGTCTAAAACCTATTGACTAAGTGCAAAAAATAAATCTACACTATGTATGTACCCAATATATGGTCGTAGTGAAACTATTATTATCTACATAATAATCCCACACATAATATCTACGATGCGAATGTATAAATGGCTTCTGGCATTGTCCGTCTAACAAGACCCGTTATACGCTTAACTAGGGTTACATATCGATCGAGCATTTTAGTTATTTCTTTAGTTATCGTATGCCCCAAGTCACGTATGTTTCTTAGTATACTCTTAGGATAGTATTAGCCATTCGCGAACCAAGCAATTTTATTAATACTGAAGGGCCGACAATAATTTATGATGCTTTTGATAATATTATACAATTTCACGATCTGTAATCTTATTCCTCGAGGTCTGTAAGAATATTAAGTTTGGGTAGACGGATCTTATTAGATAATTTGATGATGAAAAACGCTGAAGATAATTTTGTAAATTATATACAGATATTTTGCCTTGTTGTGAAACGGGAATCTTTGATACGGCCGAAGTACGAGTATCTACTTTGCATTCAAGTAATATTTTTCTCAATATCACTTTGAATTTTACTTTCCATAACATAAATACTTGATTAAGATCATCATTAAAGTAAAATATTGACATAAAACGTACAACATAATGAATCTAAATTAAGGTTTGACGTACTTTCTTTTTTCTTTAGATATTAGAGATTCTCAAGATCCATTGGCAATTGATTATTTTGATTTGAAAAAATATATTATTTATTACTATGTATACCTACTCAAAAACAGTAATTATGGATAGTAATGATCATATATTATGGTTTAATTTTATTAGGTCTTACAGAGTGTCATTCTTTCAATATTGTCATCATAATTTTAATAATATCGAAATGGTAAAAACAGACAGAAGCAAGTCTGCAATATACCGGTAGCTTAGGGTTCTTATGATCGTATAAATAAGTAGTAACCGTATAAATGCAGCTCTGCTAACAGCCTTATTAAATACACCCAGGAGAAATTATTGTGTGCTGAGTCCGATCATTTTTGTTGTGTCTGAGAGTAATTTATCTATTATATGTATGTATTTAGAAATATATAAATAACTTTATGTAGTCTGGTTACCTGTGAAGTTACTATTATTATTCTTAACTGTGAATAATTTGCAGCAAAGTCGAAAACTAAAGCGGATAATCTGACACGGAAGAATGACTAGCAATCCAACTGGGCCCGCCGAAAACGTCCAACACAAATTAGTTTAACTTTGGACGGCTTGTTTATTTTTAATCTAAGGCTTATAAGGTATAATTTACACCGCGTACTATAGTATTATTGTTCAATTGGAGCACGGGTCAATGAAATATTTTGTACTATATATATTATAGGGTCAGCTAGACCCTGCAAACGTTGTTTTGCTATTTACATTATTTTTTATTTTTTTAAATTTCTTAAAATCCGTTCTTAGCTGACCTCTACTCGGTGAAAAGAATATTCCTACCAAATTTCAAGTCTTTATCTCTAATGGTTTCAGAGATATCGTGATGAGTGACTATATACGTGGAAATCTCTTATATTTGATGGCGACGCAAGATTAATATAGGTTTTAAATCTGTTCAATATTCACATAAAATCTTAATAGTTTTAGTACTTTAGTTAAATATAAAGCGAAGTAGACTTTCATCAGTCGGCAACAGGCTTTCTCTTTCATCTTCGGTGAATTTTGTTACTTATTCGAATAAAATTGTCATTAATGTTAACGTTAATCTCAGGTTTAACTATCAAAGGCGGTACGACAATAATCTACGTTTTACACAGCTTCGTGAGCACATCCCGTTGCGCTTCATGCATCGGTGAGTCAGCCCGGGCAGCATGGTACCGTCACTCGGACGGGTGGCGCGGTGCCCCACCGCCCGGGCCTCGCCGTTCACCCTGGGACTCCCTGCCCAGTCTCCGACACAACGATAGCCTTAATGACTCCGGTTACAGGAGTACCAGAGCTGACAGCTTCGAGCAGCGGTACGTTTCTCATTGAATGTGTTTAAAGAGCTAAGCGCAAATTATTATTCTGTTCTATTTAAAAGTACTAATTTAAATTAGATTTATTTGATTTTGTTTCTATGTTTTGAATCTTCATTAACAATATTTAGGGAATATAAGAAGTTTTCCATTCCGAGCAGTATCTTTTTTTTAATAGATAAAGTAACTCAGGCTAGCCGACCAGCCCATTAACTTTTCAATGTAGAAAATGCCGATTAACGAACTTAGCAAACTGATAAAATTTTAGAAGCTGTTTGTTTTAGCTTAGCCGTTTTTGTTTAAAGCGATAAATTTCTATAGAAATATGTTATCCCTTTTTATATTGGAAAACAGTATTTAAAGGATTAAATTGAAGTCTCTATATTCGAATCCTGACAAAATTATCTCTCTATCACAGGCGTTATGTAACACATTATCCATTTTATTACAGCCATTTTTTGCGCTACTATTGTTAACAAAATTAAGAATAGTAGCAGACATGGATCTATACATCGCTTGATTAATCATTAAATAAAAAATGAAATATTGCCTTAAGATATTCTTGTTTTTCTTTAATTTTTATATATCCTGCTCTTTATCAAACATAGGGTACTGATCATTTCGATCAATATAACCGACACGTGCTATGTATCGTGTATTTGATCCAATAAATAATAGATACATACATAAATTTCCTATTCTTAGACTACGAAAATAACCTTTCGATATTAGCTAAGTTAAGGTAAATGTTAGCTGATCATTTACTACTAAATAAACCTCTTCCGATTAATTTACTTCATAACGTTAGGCTTGCGTTATATAATGCGATATTCATGTTTTACTTGATCGTGTTATGATCAACAACATTTAATATCCACAACCTCTGAAAATCTATGTTCATTTACAATTTATATAAATGATTGGCAGCAGTGAAATCCGAATTTAAGTAAAGTTCTCATTACTAACTGTCTATCAGACATGATCCGAAATGGAATAAATGGATTTTCATTCCCCTTGACAGGTCAATTTTTAATAATTCATTAGGTGAAATGGAAAAACGAAAAGTTTAAGTACGACCAACTTTGAATTGTTCGAAAGTAAATTTTATAAGACAAGGCTAAATTCCGTTTAACTTATGAAAATAAAATGAAAAGATATTGGTAATATGTAGTTATAAAATGCAGTATGTATACCTATACTTCTCTTACGGTATATTGATTGTTTAATTGAAGAAACACAACTATTTATTATTTTTATGATCCCGCGTATTATGGTCAATCTGTATTTTAACAGTAGAATATAAAGAGAGTGTGTATTAACTTAAACTGAATGTTGATGAAGCGTCAAAGTTGTAACCTGAGTACTTATTCCCAACAGTCAAATAATAATTTTCCTCTTTGTAAGGCTTACAGAATGTACGCATATTGAAAGGGCCGAAAAATAACAATATATTTTTAGAAGTTAAACACACAAACCTAATAGAGAAAAGGAAGTTAAACATTAGCCTTTGTTTCAGGGGTATTTTTGATCGACAAGATAGCGTCCGTTCGGAGTACACAAGCGATCGTGAGTCAACACGCTATGGAATTGTTCAACAAGCATCCATTGATAGCACTGACTCCCGTATATGTTACCTGACATCTAGTGAGGTAAGCAGTGTGGTATTACTAATATTATACCATAAAATACATGCATAAATGTAGTGCTTTAAGAGGTCACCTCGCCGCTTCCTACTGCGCTGAGAGTTGTGGGTTCGATTCCTACACAGTCCCTGCGATGGGTGTAATCCACAAATTGCTGTTCTGAGTCTGGGTGTTTTTTTTTGTCCGTTTTATAAATGCTTTTAAAGTCTCCCGCAAAACGGAATATATTCCTACTTATATCCTTAGTAGGGAGTTACCTTTTCTATAAAAAATAATCTTCAATACATATGTAATGATCAAGTGTTATATTTATCAGTCCGTAAAATATGCAAAGTTTGACTTACTTTCAAAGATAGGAATGTAACTAGTAAATTGGTTTCTTACCTACTTCTTTGTTAGGTGAATCGTATTTTCATTACTGGGAAGGACAGTCAAACTCACAACTTCTTCACATAGTTATTCTCTTGTAGTTTCTTAACAATCCTTTTATATTTTTCAAGTGCTTGAAATAAACGCAATAGCTGAGACTCCCACTAATATACACCTAACAATAATTAAAGTAATGTACGTATAATGAATATTAACACAAAGAATAAATGCAGCATATTCGTAGCATTGACAATACTTATAAATTAAGTAACTAAATTTTCTTAACCTTTCTGTAATTCACAATACATAGTATTTTTAGCATTATTTTATTTTGCTTACTATATAATTATTTGATGGAAGTTTTTAAAACAAATAATGTCAAAAAACTTATTCAAATATAAGATGTGATGAATACGAGTAAATCGCATATTTACGAAACGTTTCCAAATATGTTGTAATCAAAAGCCAATTCGCATATTAATAAATTCGTGACCCGTAATTCAATTCACCGTCTTGTATGATTGAGGAAACTGGTATTTTAGAATCTGAACAATCGATACCATTCATTTTAGGAATTATGAAATAACATGTGCTATGAAATATAATTTGTTAATTTTATTAGGTTTTTATACTCAGTAAATAGTACTCGTTTTTATTGTAAAATAATTTCAAAGAAGTTTACTTTTATTTTTAGGCGAGTAAGTAGGAGTAGATAGTAACACGAGCAGACAAGATTTATTTCTTAATAGCTTAGGAAATAAGTGATAGTGGTCACCTGATAGAAAGTGACTACCGCCGTCCATGAACGCCTGTAACTCAGAAGTCACAAACGCATTGCCAGCCAAAAAGTGTCTTGAAAAGCACACAGTGGTAGAGCGCCAATTATCCAGGTGATGGAGATGAAAATTTTGCCGTGTGGAACGATGGCAGAAAGTTGTTTCCAGTACTAGTACGAACAATTCCTCGGAGTACTCTCCATGATACGATAGCAAAATTCAGAGTGAAGCTACTTTCTACGTAACGCCAAGGGATTGAGCCCCTGATCGCAGATCTTTGGGCTATCGATAATTCATGGCGCTCTTTGTTTGATGCGATACAGAGGGAGACGCTGGTACTGAGGTGCTTAGAGATGAAAGTAGTATTCCATATGCGGTTGGACTAGCGCCTTATAGAGCTGAAGCCGGTGGGGCAGAGTGAAATAATGCCACGATCTGTTCAGCACACCGTGATCAGTGATCCCGAAACCCCTGAGGCAGTTAAGGAGGTGCTCTCAAACCGAGGTGATACAACAAACGGTATCTTCTTTATGGTTAACGCTCAAGTTTGTGCCTTTTTTTGTTAAAGTGGACTAGATTTAGTCGACTATATATTGCTTATAGAGACTTATTAGTTCGCATATATCTAACTTGAACTGGCAACAGCCGTGTAGGTCGATACCTATTAGCGTACAAGTTAGAATAAAATGGCAAAAACTTACTACAAAAAATACTGTAAAGCAAAGTTTACATACATATTCTATTATCATATTACGTAACTCGTAACAAGAGTATATTTATTCCAAACTAGAATATGTTATTTTATTCTGTGTGTTAAGTGCGTCTTGAAAAAAATCCATACTATTATACCATCCCTAATCCTTAAACCGATTTTAAAAATTATTTCACCATTTGAAAGCTACATTATCGGTGAGTAATATAGGCCACTTTCTACCGCGATAACCGACACACACGTGTCAGAGCCGCGGGCAAAAGCTAGTACAATATATTTAAAAGATACTAGATTATTCTAAATGTAACGAAATCTTCGTAATCACCTGGGATTGAAAGCTTCATTTTGCCTTCCTTTCTACATTCACGAGTGATAAAGATATTTAACAGATAGTATGCCTAACGTGATAGGTAGGTGTTCATAAGTCCAACAAATGAAATAGTGCATGTCTGAAGGTCGAGATCTGGGTGTTTCGTTCTCGTTCGGAGGCAATCGGCGGAGCCTGCGCGGCTGCAAAGTAGCGCGCGTCGCTGCGCACTGGGTCCAATCCGATCATGAGCGTAGTATTAAAAATATTATTTTGAGGTTAATTTCTCTCACTAGTATTATAATGAATAGAATGAATTTGTGTGTCCCTTAGATTTGAATTTGTATCAAAATAGACGGGTCGAATGTCGCGAAAGAGAACTTTAAACCGGAAATTGAGACGTTTTGTTTGTGTAAATACAAAGCTTTTACTATCAAGTGCACGGACAAAGAAGAGTTGTGTCGTCCTTGCTACGTTTTGATGCGATACTGAATATTAAATTCTATGGTTGTTTTAGTTTTAAATAAAATGAAACTATTGTGAAAATACGTAAATTATCTATAAACATATCCAGCGCGTTATAGTGAAGTCAATTCTAAGGCCTACCACTCGAGTGAATTGTTGACATTTAATAATATTCCATTAACAATAAGACAAGTTATTAAATTAAATTAAATATATTAAATGTTATTACTTAGGTAGAGTTCCTGCTTGTATATCGCTTGATCCGCCTGTGATATTTCATCTTGATAATGAATGTTAAATTCCGTGTTTAGTATTTTCTATAACTGCAAATATAAATAAATAATTTTAAGTAACTCTTAGAGTGTTCATCGTTATTAATTTTATAGCCTTCTAAGATTACTCAGTATCTAGATATTTATAATTAATATTTCGACAGACAACTATTTACTACTGTTGTTAATAATTTACTATAAACAAACAAAAACTTCGACATGTAAATTGACATAGAAACATACGCAAAGCGTTACAAGTATCAAGATGTTTCTATTATAGCTTGCATGGGGGCCTTCAAATCTAAGAAAGCTGTATTTTTAAAGGTATGATAAAAAAAATATATACAAACTAGTAATTTTATCTTTAACAAGTTATCATAGAAGCTTTTCAGTTGACATTTTATGTTATTTTTCAATTTTCGTTTCTGCTACTTTCTTATTATTAAATGTGTAACAAATAATTTTAATTAGAGCCACAATAGTTGCAGTATATAAACTTGATATGTAAAACAGTTCATTACGTTTTCTACTTAATATTACTATTAAACCAACCCAAACATCAGTGTCGTTCCAATAAAAAGTGTTGCATGTTAACTAGAATCTTGACTATTTTCATGCTCATATACATAAAACACACATTTTCATGCAAATTTGTTCTGTCTAGTTTTGTTTGATGCCACCCTCTCTGCTTCACTGTAATCTGATACTGAAAGCCTAATGTTTATTCTTGAATGCGGCCACTAAGGTACCGGCCACTGTAAATCGTGTCAGGGTCGAGTTTCTATCGATCCCGCTTCTTTCGTAGCGAGACTCGACCCGTCCCATGTGTTTTCCGGTTAATAATTATTTCAAAAAGCCCTACGGACAAATTAAATAAAAAGGGATTTGAAGTGAAAGTCTTATTTATACTCACAATTTTTTGACCATTATTTTCTTTACTAGCTGTGCTTCTTTGATAGCGCTCGCACGCAAGTTTAACTGAAATAATACGGTTAAACATTATTCACAAATATGAATACAATTTTATATATTTCTGGGAGTCTATCTATTCAAGCGAGAAGAAAATTCTCTGCGAAAATTTGGATTATTAAAAAAAAAATCTATAAATACCTAAATGTGTAGTAAAAGTGATTTTTTAAGCAATATGAGTTATATACTTATAAATTATGTGGATACGGCCAAAAATAGCTACAGTTCAGATTTTTTATATTCAGTAGAAAATTATTTTAGTCGATTGCAAAGTTTTTAAACAGTTATTTTGTACAGGAAGAAATGCCACGCTTGGAAAAACTGTACTACTTACTAACTGATATTTCATCTTGATAATGAATACGTAGTTCGTATCCATAAAAGTACATCTCGGTGCTTTCTTTATGGTACTTAAATTCTTGTAATAATGAAATAAACAACAAAGTTACTCGGTTTTGCAGATTGGCTAAATACACTCGTTCCATACTATTAAATTACTTATTTAATTATTAATAATCAGTTGCGCTGTTTAGGTCCAACCCCAAATAACAAATGAACAAACAAACTCTCTTATACACTTCAATATTAGTTTGGATTAAACGGTATTTGTTTTTTTTAATTCAAAAAGTGTGTCTCTGTAACCTTATTTTATTTTTTGTTCTATTAATTTAACTATCAGCCTGTCCAAATGCGGTTTATGTCAACAAACTTTGTTTGCCATTTGCAGCACGGAGGTAAACGACTGTTTGAGTTTATTAAATGTGATGATGTTTGAACCCATTTCAACGACACGTATAAAGCATCGCAGTGATATAGAGGCTTTTAATAGTTCTCTATCGGTCAATAAATATCGGTGCGATTTTCTAGTTTCATATCCTTTCCTGTTTTAAGGTGAAATATAAATCTATACAATTAATCAATATTATAAAATAATATTTTTTGATGGACTATTTTTTCTGCAAATTGAAATAGGACTTGTCATAATTCAATCATATTCAGTAATATTTTCAGTATATTATTTCATTCTGAAAACGTAGCGATCCACCAAGTAATTTGTTGTTACAGCTAAGTTTGGGTACAGTCTAATGTAAGTTGATTCAAGTTACAGTTTCTTGCGTATCACAGTTTAATTTAGAATAGTTTTATTGAATCGCAAGTGTTACTTGTCTGCTTATTGTGAAAGTTTAAAATTCTAATTACATTCTCTTCTATACGTACACGGTAAAAAGTACATCAACTGTTATAGCTAAACGTAAACATACTACTAACTCGTTCCTCACGATAAATATGACTTTTCCTTTACTTAAATAATCAATACATCTTCAATTGAAGACGAAATAATACTTGAATTGTTTTTTTAGTATCACCCACATTCGCAATTGCCTTCAAGGCGAATTCAGCAGTATATTTTTCACCAGTTACTAAATAAATGGTCGGGAAAATAGCGCAACATGATGTATATCCGCAGGACGTATGTAATACATTGAAGACAGGTTATATATCGTAGGTAATGTAAAACCCCATTTGTTGCGAAAGCTTTTAGACGCGACCATAAAATAACAGTAGGCATTTTTTCTGTTCCAAGAATGAGGTCACTATTTATCTGAGTAAATTAACCAATATAACAAACAATTTTATTTATTAGTAGCTTCTTCATTAATATTTAGCCAAGTATACAGAGACCAATAATTAATATTAAGATTTTTTGTTACAGGTAAGTTATCTTCTACTAACTCAGTGATGGGTGACGAACAGGTAAGTGCTATTTAGTAGTTATATTAGTTATGTAAAATATTGACACAATATATAATAAAATAAACTACAAAGGGAATTGTCTATTATCTACATCGGACAAATTTAAATGTGACCAAATCAGGTCTTCTCATAAGTTGACCGTGCCATAGGAGTAAATTATAGGCAAGTCTGTTTAAAAAGAAACAAAATTTAATACTTAATATTCATATCGTACAAATAGTAGTTGCCTTATTGAGTTATTGAGTTGAGATATATACATATATGTCACAAACTGCCGTCTGATCGAAAACTAGGCAGAGCTTGTACTATAGTGACCAGACTGCTGACATACATACTAAGATATCTTTAAATACCGACATATTATAGATAAATTACACCCAGACTCAGAACAAATGACCGTGCTCATTACACAATATTTTTCCTTTTAATTAATCGAACCCCCGACTTCCGGCTTAGCAGTCAGGGTCACTTACCACTAGACCAACAGGCCCGTCAGTCAGTCGTAGTCGTTTCAGTCTTGATGTGAAATCTTCTTGGTGTATCACAGTGTGGCGATTATCCCCTTTAGTTTTCGCAATATGTATTACTACGATATCTATTAAATTAGTGTCATTCTATTACCTTTATAGAAATGATCTTCCGAACTACACTCAAGTGCAACCAAATACAATCCACCAAGATTTTATAGTCATAACCCTTGATTTGAAGCGCATTTGTGACTGAAGTATTAACTATGATCAGGTGAACCCGTAAAAAGTGAAGGTTATGATTCTTATTTTTTGAAGTAAAAGAAGAAGAAAGTAATATGCGCCACAAAATAGTTATTGATACGCAGAATTATCTCTCAAACGTTGTCTTTAAGATCGCAAACCTTGTCTGCTACTTAAAATTGTATTTAACAATGTACCAAATTACAACTGTTTGAGTTGTGATGGTCATAAATAACGGGTGGCGCAAACCCTAATTATTATTTTACTAGCTACCTTATTTTATTTTATTTGTGGAAACCCCTCGCGCCTTCACACCACCAGAGTTTGCGACGGGGTTGTGTGTCGGAATCGGACTGACTAAAACCACACAGTGTGCCACTCTGCGCCTGTTATAGGAGAGATCCGGAATCGCTATTATTAAGAGATCCGGACTTCTCCCAGCGCCTGCCCGCGATGGTGCGGCAGGTTACTGCAATGGCAGTAGTGACAGGTGGGAGTCAATTCCCTCCTAGCGAGTAAGTGCAGATACTTCCCGAAGCAGCCGTGACCAGAAAGGACTTGGGTCAGCCGTAAGGAACATAATTTGGGAATTAAGGATACCGCGCGGATATGCGTCGGACCACCAGAGAGACTCCCCTGTTAGCAAGGCGCGCGGCCTCTTGAAAGTCCGCCCCCTACGGACTCTGTTTTATTCGATATAAAGTAGTAGTATATCATATATATTATTTATAGTTGTAATAGTAGTATTTGATTCGTTTACGATCTTAAAAGTTTTGGGTACTATAATAATAAAAAAAAAAACGCCGAAAAGTTCAATTTTAATTATTTCTACATAATCAATTACACTTTTCTACTAAGCATTAGAATAAAATAATAATGCAATAAATAAGAAATAATAATAAATAAACTTAGAAAAATTGAGTAATACGGTACACACACTTTGGGCAAGAGGAACAAAAACTATGTATTTTTTTTTTATCTCATTGCATATTAATAAATATTAATATTATATTTATTTTCACTCGAAAAGTTGATGGAATTAAAATATATATACTTTTTGAATTAATTACATACAACAGTAGTAGTGCTAAAGGTCTATTCCTTATACTAGGTATCTCCAAAGGCTGTATTAAATAACTGTCTGGTCGTAGATTAAATAAAATTATTGAAAATTTCATTACTTTTAATTTAATTTAATTTCAAATTCGAAGTAACTATATCGCTTCCGATGTGGAAAACGGGACCGCTTTTGAAACAAAAAAAGAAATGTTTCACCAGAAGAGAACTCTTAGCAGTGATCACTTTAATATGATATAACCTTTAAACACCATTTAAAAAATATATTTATCGGGCTAAGGTTTTCATGACTTTTATGTAGCTTGTATAGTTCAAAAACCAAAGGTCACATTACATGTTAGATTGAAAAACCGCAGCAATTCCACTTTCAGGGTTAAAGCACTCCCGACTAACAAAGCTCCCTTTCTTGACTAATTCCGATCTGATATTCTCTCCCACTCATGAGTGGCTAGGTGGTAGCCGAGTAGGTTAACAGACTGCAAAGTCCAGGTCAGTCTATGGATGGGTGACCATTCTTAACACATTGAGACCCCTCCGTACCTCGGAGACCACGTTAAGCCGTCGGTCCCGGTTGCCATACGAACATCGTTGGCAATGATTACAGGTAGTTGGTGCCTTAAAAGTCCGACAAAAGTTTTTCTACATAACGATATCGCCTAGTACTTGGGTTGTGGAGGTCACCTGAATTGTAGTAGACTTAAAGCCGACCCCAACCTAGTTTTGGGCAAAAGGCTGGAAGGGAGATTCTCTCCCACCGAACCACCGAACCATTTTCGATAATTGTTTATAATTGAATTTGATTGAATACTTAAGATTCGTCTCATGATAATTAATGGACAAAGAATACATTTTATCATGATTTCGAAGTCGGTGAAACTTTTTATAAGATAATTATCACCAATTTCGTGACCTAGGTACAAAATTATGTTTCATGGAGTTCAATGACTTTAGATAAGTAATTATTATACTCTATAATTAAGTGAAATCACCAATCAGGTGTTTTATCTGACTGATAGGGTTGAAGGAATTCGGGCAATCTTTTGAAATATTTTGAGCAAATCTAGAGCGCTCGCTCGCTCTCGGGAAGCTTCGTTTTGTGAAATAAAACTGATGATAAATACCACATATGTCCTTAATTACACGAATATATGTAATTGCTAAGGTCTTTGTGTCCATTCTAATGCCAAAGTACCAAGAGAGTTCCACAAAATTAAGATTTCTGCATAGGAGTATCAATTAATTTATCTTTTGCATGTTATCTGTATAGTTAAATGAAAAGTTTTTTAGTTAAAGTTTTGCTCTGGCATGATGGTAAATTCAATGTTAATATATAAAAGTATCTACATATATGTATATTAAGGTATTACCGTATAAAATTTCTTGCAATACTCTGTCCGACATACTCTGAATAAATTCTGATTCTTGAATGTAATGATATGGTACAACATTTAAATCATCATCAACAGTCTTTACTAGTCTACTCGTACTACTGGACATAGGCCTCTCCTTAGAAAAGAAGTATTGATATACTATACAATAGGTACTGTGCGGTACTGACACGCAGGCCAGACGGGTTGGTATAGGGTGTCACTTTTGCCTTCTATTTACAGTACTGTTATCCTGCTAGTTTGCTCCATTGGTCAGCTCTTACAATACCAACCCAATTTTATGATTAAAAATATTAATGTTTGCGTGTGAAAAAGTTGAAAAATTGTTCATAAAACCTCGCACAATATCGTATGATAGCACCCGATCGATTCGCCATCTCTTCGCAATCCGGAAACGATATAATTTTTATGCCGCAACTGTTTCTGGTTTAGGGATAGGCTGCACCCAGGTCGGACAATCCCGAACAACAGAAGAAAAAGGTTCTGCTACCTTCAATTGTTTCAAGAGAAACTATATAACTATGAGGTCGTTACATATGAAATTGGCGTTTTGTA